GGAAAACCCTGTAGTCGCGGCTTTCAACATCTCAAACCATTCATAGAAAATGGAATAATTAGAGTTGGCGGTCGACTTCGTAATTTGGACTTAGATTGTGGTCAAAAGCACCCCATTGTGCTTCCTCGTATAGACCACATACTGGATTTACTCGTTGATTATCATCACAAATTGAATTGTCATGCCGGTCCAGACTTACTGATGTCACTCTTGCGTCAGAAGTACTGGATATTTTCGGCTCGTAATTTAATAAGGAACAGAGTACATAAATGTCTCCCTTGCTTTCGGCTTCATCCCAAGCCGTCATTCCCGGAAATGGCAGATCACCGTTCGTGTCGTGTTGTTGAAACTGCTAAACCTTTTGTACACACTGGTACTGATTACGCAGGCCCATTCAAGGTTACCATGGGTCGCGGTCGTGGTATTCGATCTACCGAGGCATACGTGTGTCTTTTCGTCTGTATGACGACTCGCGCGGTTCATATTGAACTAGCAGGTGATTTGAGCACCGTAAGTTTTATGGGAGCTTTGAAGCGGTTCTTATCTCGCCGTGGTCCAGTAGGTAGAATTTATTCAGATGATGGCAGCAATTATATCGGCGCCAAGCGCATGCTTTCAGAGCTTCACGAATTCTTATATTCAAAATATCATAATACTGAATTTGGCAATATGTTAGCAAGTAATCGCATTGAATGGTCGCTAAACGTGCCCGCTGCAAGTCATTTCGGCGGCGATTGGGACGCGAATGTCAAGTGTTTGAAGACCCATTTGTATCGCGTTATCGGTGATAAAACATTATCTTTTGAAGAGATGAGTACGGTTCTCGCTCAAATCGAATCGGTCCTGAATACGCGACCTCTATGTAGAACATTATCTAACGATCCCTCGGAACCCCTCGCTCTAACTCCCGCACATTTTTTAAATCTCACGCCGTTGAAATATTTGCCTGCGAGTGAAATCGATCCTAACCTGCATACTCTCTCGCGGCATGATCAGCTCGATAAGTTGGTTCAGTCTTTTTGGAAACGCTGGAGAACCGATTACCTTCACACTTTACAATCGCGTTGTAAATGGAATACACCAGTCGACCCTATCACAGTTGGGACTGTTGTTATCCTTTTAACTGAAAATTCTCCTCCACTTCACTGGCCTTTGGGTGTTGTTGAGGAAGTTTTTCCTGGCTCTAATGGAGTCACACGGATAGTACGCGTTAAGACAACGACTGGTTCGTATTTGCGTCCAGTCGTACGTCTCTGCCCCTTACCTAATCAATAATTCCTTAAGGCTCATTTAGGTTAGAGAACTTAGATTGTTTATTGCTTAATATCGTAGAATAATCATAGTTTAGAAACATAGGCTAAAATTTTGAAGGCGTTCCTTCAAGCCGGGGGGGATGTTCCCGCCACTAAACAAATTTCGTAAAACTATTACTTTAAATATTTTGGTTGGTATCATATCATCTCCACTATCCCTTTCCTGCACAACGCCTGTACAATATGTGTGAGCGAGATGGACTCACCACCGCACGCTGCACATTCGTTGTACATAAGTGAAATATAGTCTCGCTTCGACCGTATTACCGTCGTTTTCGAAATGCGCGCGTGTGCCACTTCAAAAATCGCAAATTAATAACTTTCGCATTGTGGTTTGTGAATTTGGTGAAAAATAGCCCCTGGACTTTATGCTGCTCCGCACAGGAAATAAGTTATCGTGCAATCCGTTCCATTGGAACTGATTCTTACTTTCATTTTTTCTAACAGTTCTAATTTCCTACCTTGACGCCAACCAAATTTTACAAATTCCTCGAACTTAGCTAATCCGCGCAAACAAATGTTTCGACAGCTGCGACGAGTCAGCAAACGACAAACCAAGAAGGAAGGGTAGACATCGACTCAATAATTTTTATTTTTATTGAAAATCCAATCGATGCTACTGATACCGCACCGTACCGAAGTCCGAGTACCGAAAATCAATGGCCTCCAAATGAACCTAGTGTCGCCGCCACTATAGAATCTGAAAATCTTCCTACTATTGATGAAACTCCTATTAAAAAAGGGGAAAAAAGACACAGACAAGAAATAAAATATAAGAAGAACATTGTAAAGAAATTGAAAAATAGTGGGAAACCTTATAAATCAACAAAAACTCTAAAGAATGTTTCAGAACGAAGACTTAAGCCCCCCTGTAACGAAACCTGTAAATTTAAATGCTACGCAAATAAAACAGAAATTCAACGACAACAACTTTTGAAAGAGTACTGGGATTTGGGTGAAATTGAAAGACAGTGGTCATTTATAATTCAGGCCTTAGAAGAGGTGAAACCAGCCCAGCGATATATCAGGATTGATTCTGACGGAATAATAGCGCCAAAAATAATGCTTACTTTTTTGCAGTTACCTGGGGTTAGGATTGGAGTTTGTAAAACCTTTTTCAAAAACACCTTGGTCATCAATAATAGACCTATAGAAACCACCCAAAAAAAAAGAATAAAAATACAAACATTTCTTTGATTAAAGACAATTGTGAATGTCTTAAAAATCATCCCTACATTGACGAAGCTATAAAAAAGTTAAAGCTTTTATCGAAGCTATACCAAAAATAGAGTCGCATTACATTCGAGCCAATTCCAAGAGGCATAACATTGACGGGAGTAAAACTATTTCCGATATTCACCGGGACTATGATGAACATTGCAAGGCCCAAAACATTCCCTATGCGAATTACATCATGTTCTACGGCATCTTTACTCAGGACCTTAATATATCTTTTTTTATTCCTAAAAAAGATGCATGCGAGTTTTGCGAAACTTAGTACAGATGAAGGAAAATAAAATAAAAAGTAGCAATTTCTATGTCACCAAGAAGAAAAACGGACGTCACGAATTGAGAAAGAGATAGATAAAAAAGACAAGGACATTTTTGTGGCTGTTTTTGACCTGCAAGCTGTGTTTCAGTGCCCGAAAGGAGACACATCCATTTTTTTATTATAAATCAAAACTAAAAGTATTGAACCTGAAAATGTATGATCTCAAAACAAACTCTATTGAAAGTTACGTGTAGAATGAATTCCAGGATCATAGGGGTGTGAATGAGATTGCCACCTGCGTTTTCTAATACTTAAAGAAGATTCCTGAAGGACGAAATTCCATGGACGTTGTTTTATACTCCGACAACTGTGCTGGCCAGCAGAAGAATCGATTTATAATGGCTATGTTTCTCTATGCGCATCTCTGCGCAGAGCTTCCAAACATAAACTCCATTACACATAAGTTTCTCATTAAGTTTAGGTCCACAGAATGAAGGAGACTCGGCCCACTCCCAAATTGAACGCCAGGTAAAAAAACAGTTAAGAAGTGGAGTTTTTACCCCTGAAGGATTTATTGGGGCAAGCAATACATGTAAATTAATTATGTTACAGTGACATTTATGATTGGAAGGCTGTGCTCAATCAAATGAATTTTGCAATTTACAAGGATGAAGATCAAAAAGATGATTAAATATAGATGATAAAAGATGATCCCCATGCAATCTATTATCGTACGTCTCATGCGGACGAAATGAAGAGAGCTGTGGTTATAAAAAAGGAGTCAGTTAATGATATCCAACAAAAGAACGCTTTTAATAGAAAACTGGGGTTAGCCGAAATAAAAAAAAGAGGATCTTTTTTCACTACTACATGGTAATCATATTCCTGGCTATTACAGGACATTTTTCGAAAATTTGTCATTCTTTTCAATTTGATACATTGCTTAAAAATATAACAGTTATTTTAATTATTATTTTTTATTTTTATTTAATTTATACATAGAAAACTTACAGCTAGAAACATCAGTAAGAATGACACAATTAATCATCTGAGAGCCAATTACCAGTTTTCACTTCTAGTTAGAAACTAACAAAAGTTGCTGTAAACAACTAGATTGGGGAAACAAAAAAAATCAAAATAAAAAATACAAGAAAAAAACAGACAAACAAGAGAGAAAAAAAAAACAACCTAATCACACATTATATCTAATTAAAAAAGTTAAGGCTAAGGCGCCTTCTTACCGAGGACACACTAATAAAGAATTAATGAATGAAGGGATCCATGTCATGCTGTTCACATACCTTATTAAAGTTTCTACTTGCGCGCACCAAGTAGCTGTTCTGCCGGTAATTTGTTCTAGCACGAAAGCGAAGTGACCTAAACGACACGTTAAAATATATTTTCTCAATCGAATCAGGACAGTCAATATTGTTGTTAATGATTTTGACAAGAAATATCATCATCATCATCATCATCATCAGCCTATCGCAGTCCACTGCTGGACATAGGCCTCTCCCATTGCACGCCACTTAGATCGATTTTGGGCTTCTCGATTCCAAGACAAGAAACAGAAAGACAAAATAAAAATCCGATATTTCACGTCGATCCATAAACTCCCGTTTATGAATCGACGTGAAATATCGGATTTAAAAATCTCTTACATGATCGTAGATAATCTTTGGAGCAGTACGGAATTCTTTGGTGATACAAAGATATTTAATAAAACGTTTTTGTAAACGTGTTTGTTTTCGATTCTATTTATGTAAACTAAATAAAATGAGTTGTGAGTGACACATTCTTTAAATTTAACTCCCGATAAAATTATTTGAAATATTTTTTTTTTTTTTAAAGACAACTCCCGCATTAGGAATGAATCCTGTGTCGCGGGGCACTTTACAAACATACACGAAACGGACACAAAGAACACCCAGACTTAGAACAACAATTTGTGAATCACACAAAGTGTCGTCCCATGTGGGGTTTGAACCCACAACACTCGAAGTAGTAGGAAGCGGCGTGGCGACCGCTTAAACCACTACGCCATCCGTGTAGTCAATTGTATTCCGTCCGTGTATTATTTGTAACTAGTTTATTGATTTTATGCAATAACATTTAATAACAAGACACTACCTGCCAGTGTACAGTATTCCTATCAACTTAGTGCTACCTGTTGTGTTCACTATAAACAACTGAAAATGGAAGCGCTTCTGAGCACCATGGAAAACTTGAGCAACATGTTCCATAGCAGAAGGAGTAAGTTTGAAGCTGATCTCCATAATAACACAAGCCCCATGACAAGCATTGCTGGATTAGCTGGTGACTTCTCTACGTTCCGGAGCTTTGTGCTTGATGTCCTTAAGAGTCTGCAGCAACAAGTAGAGTCATTAGTAGCCAGCATGGACCAATTAGAAAGATTCTTCTAATCCATGGAGTTGAGGAAGAAAAGAAAGAAGATCTTTCACTAAAAGTTCAAAAAATCATCCAAACTCAGCTTAAAGTCGAAGAATTCACAGTGAGTGACATAAAGCGTTGTCATCGCCTCGGTAGACCTACAGCTACCCATAGGCACCGTCCAATACTCGTCAAGCTGCAACATGAATCTATCCGAGACAAGGTGTGGTTTTCGAAAACCAAACTTAAGGGATCAGGTATCACTCTATCGGAATTTCTCACTAAACCTCGTCATGACTTGTTCCTGGCTGCCCGAGAGATGTTTGGTGTTGCTAAATGTTGGAGTAAAGGAGGCACCATATTTTTACATGGGGCGGATGGAGAGCGGCATAAGGTAAGCTCAAGAGCTGACTTAATGAAGCTTGCTCCAGTTACTTCTGAATGTACAACGAGTGTGGAGCCAACCACCCGTAAAAATCAGTGTTCAAAGACTAGAAGAACGGCTTCTAGGAAGTGATTATCCATTGGTGTTGATTTCCGATAATTTATTTTCATGCCGGGAGTGGGCAGTTAACTCCACAATGCGTTTTACATTGTGTCACCCTCTCGTGTTAAACATGCAATGTTTTTAAAATCAAATGTCCTAGTAAAGCCACTGTAACTAGCGAAGTATTCACATTACATGCACGGTATTTTAATCTTTAAAAAGTAACACTTAATATTGTAATATTAATATACCCACATGACAATGACAACAGTCAAATGTCAAAATAAAAAGCAGCTGAAATTTTCGTTAGATTTCATCATCGACTTTTAATTTCAAAAGACTTATGTCTGAACTAACATTCTCGTCACAGACCTTATAATTAAATTAGAACTGTCATTGCACTGTGTCTACTTAAACCATATTCTCAGCCTCCTTTTTTTTATTTTTATTAATACTGTTGGTATTATATAGTATTATTATTTTTGACCATACTTTTACGTGACTATTTCTAAGTTAACCAATTACGTATATCGATTAAGGCAATTTTTATATCTTGCAACTTTTACTGGCATGTTTTTGTCATTGTGTATTGTATTTTTCATTTTTTTTTATTACTTTTTACTTATTTTTCTTTATTGTATAATACTTTCTAAGATGAAAAGGAAAACTATGATTCCATATTATTATTCATTTAATTCAAAGTTGTTTATGGCTACTGGCTGCACAATCTGTGAACACCACGTGACTGGCAGGTGGACTATGTTGCGATTGCTTTTGAAATTTGTACTAGGTAAAATAGGGTAAAACATATCGCACCTCTGATCAAATACAGTAATAACTTGAAAATTCTTATTTAAGCGTTTTTTTAATAAAACGTACCGCTTTCGCCCGTTTTACGCTTACAAAAAAGAAATACCACTGTATCTCGATTACTTGTCAAGAGATGGCAGTTAGCACAGTATTTCATTGCAGTAAAGTTGTACGTACGGTGCGCGCATCCAATCTCAGTTAGTGTGACATTACGTGTTGTACCGGGTGTTCGTGATTTTGGTTTGAGTGATAGTGTTATAAAACGAAATAATACTATACAAGTTGACTGGTAAGTACGCATTTTTTACATGTTTGTTATCAAATTGAGTAACAAATTGAAATGTTACTGTATATGATATTATTTTTTATAATAATGTTATCTAAATTATCTTAAACACAGTTTTATTTCAAAATATAACGGTGTTGTAGAAACATTGTAATAGTATAACGTTTTCAACAAAATAAAAGAGAGTTATAAGTTGAATTGCCACTGTAAATGATTTATTTAAAGTAATTAATGCGCGGATACTCAGTTCTATTACGTTATATCGTGAAATATTACTGTATAATATTACGAGGCTCGGACCTATTTTATTAAACTGTAAAACTCTAATACAGTAATAAATTAAAATGTTACTATTTAAAGCATTATGAAATAGGAAATTCCTCAAATTAATCATAAACCATAGTTGAGACTTTAAGATATAACTGTTTTCTATAGATTCGGAAAAAAAATTAGGTGTTACAAGTTAACTTATAACTGTATAGTGTAATAATATTTAACTATTTGTGATTCATACCCAACATTAATTGGTGTTTTTGGAATTAATTTATTGTCATTTTTGTACAAAGCTAGATTATAAAAATATTTTGCTTTTTTGCAGGTACTCAATTAAAATGAAGAGAAGTGAGGCTATGCTGCGACTAGCCTTAAAGAACGATATTATTAACATAACATCTAATAGGGAAACCTTTACTGGTAAGTCATGAGTTCGAAAAAAAATTTTGATTCTCAAAACAAATATACCTACTTAATGTTCTCCTTAAATATTTTTTTAATTTACAGAAGAACCGTGTACTTCAAATTACAGAAGCAAAGAATCTGATGTAGCAAAAAGTAATATTCAGCTTGAGTATGACAAAGGTACTTGTGGGAACTATTGATATCATTTTAAATGTCTCGGTTAAATAAAATCTAAATATTCATAATTTTTATATTGTTGCAGAAAATTTAAGATCCTCAAATAATATGCAAATCTCCATTAATGAGCAGTGTGAAGGATGGGATAAGCGAAACGCTTCTGAATTAAGTGATGTGATAGTAGAAAGCGAAAACAATAAAACTGGTAGCTCATACTCGAACTACAGTTCTTCCTCGTCATCTGATTCTTCTTCCTCATCGAACTCTTCAAGTGACGAAGATAGCGATGACTCTGTACGCGATCCCAATTTTGTCGCTGAACAGCTTCCACCCCGAAATTCTTCCAGTGAGTCTGATTTAGAAGACAATAATGAAAACGTTCCAGTGACCAGTGAGTCGACTTCATCAAACCTTACGGTATCAATTGCAAGTACATCTAGATTATCATCTAGAAAACGACAGGCTAAACCAGCAGAATGGAAACAAAATAAATCTAAAATTCTTAGGAATTCTGGCGCCGCTTACATTAAAGTTAAAAACGTACATATGAGGGGTAAGTATATTAAACCCCCATGCAGAGATAATTGTAGGTTAAAATGTAATAACAAGATTACTGATGAAGAGCGAAAACAAATATTTGAAGTTTATTGGGGGCTTAAAGACATAACTCGTCAGAGACAATTTATCAATCAATGTATGACATGTATAATCAGAAAATATAGGTATACTACGACTGAAAAAGGGAGACTGCCAAATAATGCATTTCATTTCAATATTATGGGACAGAAAATAAGAGTTTGTAAAACATATTTCATGAACACTTTAGATATTAATAGCAGGGTAATAAATACGGTAATTTCTAAAAGAACTTCGATAAACACCGTTGAAGAAGATAAAAGGGGAAAACACCAAAACCATCATAGTTTGCCTGTAGGTGTCAAAGATTCAGTACGTAACCATATCAATTCTATTCCGCGAATTGAAAGCCACTACTTACGTAACCAAACTAGTAGACAGTTTATTGAGGGTGGGAAGACTATCTCAGATTTACATCGTGACTATAAAGAAGACTGTATTAAAAGAAATGTACCTTACGCTAATTATGTAATGTATGCGAAAATATTTAATACAGAGTTTAATTTAGGTTTATTTATTTTACGCCTAAGAAGGATCGCTGTGAATTGTGCGTTGCCTATGAAAATGCCAGAGATGATGAAAAGTATAAATTGGAAGAAAAATATCAACATCATCAACAACAGAAAGTACTGTCCCGCGAAGAGAAACAAAAAGACAAAGATAGTTCTGACAAGAATATAGTAGCAGTGTATGATTTACAAGCCGTGTTACCAGTACCAAAGGGAGACGTTTCTGTATTTTATTACAAAAGTAAATTAAATTGTCTAAACTTTACAATTACCGATATAAAAAAAAAAAAAAAACTGAATGCTACTTTTGGCACGAAGGTGAAGGTAATCGGGGTTCTGATGAAATAGGTAGATGTTTACTCAAATACATTGAAAAAGTTATTAGTCCAGCTAACGACTGCGATGATGCTTATAATATTACATTTTATTCGGATAATTGTGCTGGCCAAAATAAAAATAAATTTATTATTGCTCTTTATGTTTACTGTGTCATAAAATACTCAAATCTTCACTCTATAACTCATAAATATTTGATTTCTGGACATACACAAAACGAAGGGGACTCCGTCCACTCCGTTATAGAAAAGAGCATTAAACGAAGCTTGAAATCGGGCCCCATCTACGTACCGTCTCAATATGCACAAATCTTAAGATCTGCAAAAAAAAACTGGCGAGAGATACAACGTCAATGAACTTTCATATCAAGATTTTATATCTTTGAAAAATTTAATCAGTGACATTCGAATGACTACTGGCAGTATGAAAATTAACGAAGTGAAAATTTTGAAATTTTCCAAACACACCCCGGATGTACTATATTACAAAAAATCTTATGATGACGATACTTTTTTGGAGACCAAGCTTTGGCGCAGATCTCCCCAGTCCTTACCAGAGTTAAAGTCAGCTTATGACGGACCTCTGCAAATAAGTGAAAGAAAAAGAAACGATTTGTTAAGTTTGGTAGTCAATAATCATATTCCCCACTTTTATTCGCCATTTTACCAACATTTTTGTTACATACCCTAAAACAATAGTTAGAAGAAATCTGACGAAACCTTAACATTTTACTACAGTATTTACTACTTTTTTTATTTAGTTTACAGATAGATAGATTGATTGATTGATTGATCAAACTATTTCTTACGAGTACGTATGATAAGACTGATAAGTGTTTACGAGACTGATTAAGATTACGATTAGATTAAGATTTTGTTTGCTTCAAGTTCAACAAGTTTTTATTTTAGTTCAGAGACACTGATTTACTTACTTTTATAATAAGTATTGATTGTTTTGTACTACAATTAATTTCGTACAAGTATTTTAATAATATTACAAGTGATAACAGGAATAAGATCTTAAGTACTTTTTTTTTAGATATATAATTTAGTAAGACTTTTAATTTTGTTACGAATTATTATATTTGATGTTTAATTTGGTAGAAATAAAGAATGTTACAACATAAATACAGAATTTTATTTGAAATAATTTAATAATCTTTGATAAAATAGAGTTATAACCAAAATTTTTTTTATAAAAAAACAGTAATTTGAAATAACTAATTAAGCAGGTAAATAGCACTTTCTATAAGCTTTATATTGATATATAACTTGTATGTAATATTTGAAAAAAAAGTCCGAAATTCTCGTTCCAAAAAAATAAGTTGAACACTTTTGTTTATCCTGAACATTTTAATTTTTTGTGTTATTACTCTATTTTATCGGAGGTGCGATATATTTGCCTACAGCGATTTATGCATCGTATTTTATTGTTATCAATTTATATAACCACTGTATTTATCGTAACGCATCTTATGGACTCAGGTAGTGATAGTGATGAGTTTTATTCACTCAGTAGTGATGACGATGACAGTTTCGTTAGTATTTCGCTGGCTGATAAGCTTCAACGACAATTCACCGATGTTGCCAAGAATTTTATTCGTCATTCATTTAAATGCGCAGAGTATTCCCGCTCACTTTCCCGATATGCTGACAAATCTTGACTGCAAAGTTATTCACGCTATACTTGTCTCGGAGTCATGGCTTAAGCCATGTCTTCCTTCATGCTCTTACTCTCTCCCTGGCTTCACACTCATAAGAAATGATCGAGCTGTGGGTGGTGGTGGTGGTGTTGCTATCTATCTCCGGCATTACATTCCTCACAAGGTTGTTAGTATGTCCGCACAGCCACCCCCACCAAATGCTGGTGAGCATCTATTTATAGAGGTCGAGCTACACCATTCAAAATTGTTATTAGGCGTTTATTACTGTCCCTCTTTACGTATCAATTTTTTCTCCTCCTTCGAGAATATGCTACAAACGCTTTTACCCATATATAGTCAAACTATTATTATGGGTGACTTTAATACTTGCCTTCTAAGAAATGACTCCCGCACTTCATCTTGCAGAATCTATTAATCTTTCTATTCTTCCTCTAAAAGCAACCCATAAATTTCCTAACTGTGCCCCTTCTCTTCTTGATCTTATACTTGTTTCGTCAGTTGATCACGTTGCCAAACATGGAAAATGTGCAGCATACGAATTTTCTTACCATGATCTTCTTTTTCTTTCCTACAAAACCCGCCCTCCTAAGGTAAAGTCAAGACTTCTCATGCAGCGTAATTTTAGTGGTATAGATCATGGGCTTCTTATGGCATGGGCTGGATGCAGAGGAGATCGATTGGGTCTCCCTTCTGTCAGCTTCATCAGTTGATGTTCACTTCATCAGTTCGTAAATAATTAATTAAAAGAAATGAATTTACAAATACATACAATTTTTATTTATTATTTATCTTTATTTTTTATTTGACATTGTAATTACTTTATTGACATCATAGTTCTAAAATTTTATACATAATTTATAAAAAAGAGACATTGATTTTGCATGTTTTAAGCTCTAAGGTATGAAAAATCAAACTGAAATATTATATTGCTTTAATTGCGACAATTCAATGTAATTCTATTTGCATGTCTTAAATTTAGCGTTTCACAATTATTCTTTTTTTTCTCTTTAATTATTGTAAGCCTAAATGGCAGAACATAGTAGATCATTCTACCACTGTAAACAACCTTTGTATACCTATGTTTCACAATAAAAACTGATTGATTGATTGATTGATTGATGAAATGACAGAAATATTTAATGGTAGGCTGATAGCACTCTACGACAAGCATGCACCGGTTCGACTAATTAAGCTGAAACAATTACCATCACCCTGGCTTACAGACGAAATTAAGAAATTATTTAATCGCAAAGCAGCGGCAAAATCGAAATACAAAGCGAGACTCACGGATTTCAACAAAGAAAAATAAATAAACTTGCGGAATCACTGCAACAAGGTGTGTAGGAATGCACAACGCCAACATATTCATAATTCCGTACAAAATGGTGATTCAGCTAAAGTCTGAAAATTTCTTAGGTCTCTAGGGATTGGAAAGCAGCGTCAAGAACTATCTTCTAACCAGATAGACTTAAACTTACTAAACCAGCACTTCTCTACTTCGTCTGAATTTAATAAGACAACCAAAATTAATACATTAAAATATCTTTCAACACTTCCAACCCCTGACTACCCCCCATTCGTTCTTAGTCAAGTGTCTGCTTGTGATGTTGAGAAGAGTATTCGGTCCATTACGTCTAATGCTGTTGGCTCTGATTCTATCAGCCGCAACATGGTTCTCTTTATCATTGATGAAATTTTACCTATAATCACTCATATACTTAATATGTCCATTACTAGTGGTGTATTTCCATCAAAATGGAAAGAGGCCCAGCTTATTCCTTTACCCAAAAATCGCAATCCCGCATCCTACTCCGAATATCGACCAATCTCTATCCTACCCTTTCTTTCAAAGGTCCTTGAACGTATTATCCACAACCAGCTCAATTCATTTCTTTGCAGAAATAACCTCCTTAACCCATTCCAATCTGGTTTCCGTCCCGACCACAGCACAACTACTTCTCTCGTTAATATTACGGACGATATAAGGATAGGTATGGAGAATGGAAAACTCACAGTATTATGTCTATTAGACTTTAGCAACGCCTTCAACTCTGTTGACTTTGACGTTCTCCTTGCCATATTTAACTCTCTTAACATATCTCCATCAGCTATTGACTGGTTTCGTGGTTACCTGTTTGGTCGCCGGCAGCGTACCCGCCTGGATGACAACTATTCCAACTGGTCAAATACATCCGCCGGTGTGCCACAGGGTGGCGTTTTATCCCCTTTACTATTTTCAATATTCATCAACACAATCACTAATCAACTTCTCTCTTCCTACCTCCTGTACGCAGACGATTTACAAATTTATTACCAAACAAATTTTAATGAGCTGCCACTAGGTATTGACGCCATAAATAGAGATCTGAGCCACATATATCAGTGGACAACAATGTATGGCCTAAAAGTTAACCCTAGGAAAACGCAAGTGACAGTAATCGGCAGCTCCAGACTTATCGCAAAAGTTGACTGGACTGCACTACCACAAATATCTTTTGAAGGCGTAACAATTCCAATTAGCAACTATGTCAAAAATTTAGGGGTCTACGTTGACAAAACCCTTTCATGGAATGCTCAAATACAAAATGTCAGCCGTAAAATGTTTGCCTCTGCCGCCTGTTTAAGAAGATTACGTAATTTCCTTCCAACTGCCACTAGGGTTGAGCTCGCATAATCAATTCTTCTTCCCATCCTTGACTATGCCGATGTCAGCTATCTTGATCTGAACGAGGACCAATTCGATAAGCTTGAGAGACTTCAGAACTTCTGTATAAGATTCATTTTTGGCTTGCGCAAATATGATCATATTTCCGAATTTCGTAAAAAACTCAAGTGGCTCCCAATTCGGCTTCGCCGGAATACTCACATTCTCTCTTTACTGTATAATATTTTATTTAATCCTGCAACTCCTATCTACTTAAAGAGACGATTTTCATTTATCCATGACACACATACACGAAACTTGAGATCAACAGAAAATCTTACACTAGAAATTCCAACACACTCCACAACTTTTACTGATACATCTTTTACAGTACAAGCAGCACGCCTATGGAATTCCTTACCGGAAGCTATAAGGCGGGCACGGTCAGTGAGTACTTTTAAGAGACTCGTCAAGGATCACTATTTATCTCTGTAAGAACTATGTGTTATATATGTAGGTATGTAATGTA